GGAGAGAAGCACGGAAAGATTCTTTAGACATGGACTGGAACATTGAATATTTGAAGAATCATAGGAAAAAAATGCAGAAAATGTAAATTTGAAAATTGATTGAAAAACAAAAATCCACCTTGAGTTTTTCACGTGGAGTCCAACGTATTCCCACATCACAGTTTCATTTAAAAAACGTTCCATTTTATTAATTCCGTGAACTCTTTCCTCTTCTTTTTTCTTTTGAACTTTGCCCTTGATTCTAATCTCCTCCCCCTCTTCATCATCTTCTCACTATTCCTCAATCATTCAACTGCATAAGAAGTAAGAGAGCAGTTTGCGGATTTTCTAACATTTCGGAGGTAAACTTTTCTATTCTGCTATTCATCTGAAATATGAAACTGTATTCCAGAAACAGAATATGACTGAAAAAAAATCTCAACAAGTATTGTCGATTCGTAGCGACTGCTCTTCAATGGATGTGTTTCGCTACAAACTGATTCCCAATCAAAAGCTGTGAGAATAGAAATGAGGATAGCGTCTTAAAATAATAAAAGTTGTAATTCCACAAATCTTGAATTTTACCATAGTTGAAGGAATTCCGTGTTCCACATCCATCGTTCTACATTCCTGCTGAAATTCGTGTCGATCATTTCAAATTTTAGGGTTGAGCTCTCTGATTGGGTATGAAAGATGAGAAGTGTTTGCAATAACTGAAGAATTCCGTTTTCTATAGTTTTTCTTCCATTCCGTATTCCGAATTTGCGATTTTGCCATTCTGTACAAATCTGGTATTCACCTCAAAAGGGATTGTTTTTCTCACATGGGTGAGGAATTTTCTATAAATTGATGGATTGAAAGTAGATGGTTTTGTTAGTGAATTCTGAAATTTCTAACCCTCGTCAGATCCTATGAGTCAGGAAATATTCATCTGAAGTAGCAATTTCGACAGTGACTTGAACAAAAAGGGGCGTGTTCAGGTTTTCAGATGAAAGTTTCCAGATTCTTAGGCTCCAGTGTGAGCTAGAAATGTCAGAATCCACTAACAGAACCATCTACTTTCAGACCATCAATTTGTAGAAAATTCCTATCCCATGTGCAAAAAACAATCCTTTGTCAGGTGGGTTTGAACCCCCGGGGGCAAATCTGATGGATCAAGCTAACGACTGCGATAGGCGACAGGGCGATGCCCCTGATTCTAAGAGAATTTTCATTGTGATTCCAATAAAATTTTTTTGAATAACGTGTAACTCTATTAGAAGTTTTACAGTACTGGAAGTCAACACTCTTGATAATTCCCAATAGTACAGTAATCCCTAATTCCATGCTCCTTCCCATTTTTATCTTGCAACCAACAAATCGAAATTAGAGTGAAAATGTGTATTTGAATCACTAAACATCATCATCGCACAGAAAAAGAGTTTGTGGTGGTGGTGGTTTTGGAAGGACAAAAGCATAATGACGGAAAATATTCGAATATATTTGACATATTCAACATCTACAATAAAATAAATATTGATTAAAGATTATTGTTTTTTGGAGAGCGATTGTGGTTGTTTTTGGAGAGAACGCGGGCACCCGGAGACCGTAAGATTCGGGAAAAAAGTGGAGAAAAAGTTGAAAAAGAAGGGGAGGGGGATACGGTGATTTTTCGAGTACGTGCCGAAAATTTGAACTGAAAAATGTCAAAACCGTCAAATTTTTTCTGTAATGCTTCATCTAGTAAAATAAGTATGGAAAAAAGTGGACTCAATTTTCCGCAATTTCAGTTTAAATTTTCCGTTTTTCCGGTGGTGGCCACGGCCGCTTATCCGACAAACCCGTAGTCAGAAAATCACCGTGGGAGGGGGAATGGAATCTTTAGAAATTGAGAGAAAAATGGGGACTGGGAAAGGGACAGAACACAATAAAAAGTATGAAAAAAAAGTGCATTAAAGAGCTATCAAATATAAATTATATTCAATATTGATATGCAGTTTGGTAATAGGGATTATAGGTATCGTTATTAAACATTGTATACATTGAAAGTTGTGCTTGTCTCTCAGCATCCATACCGTATCCATTCAGAGACATTGGTGGAAGTTGAAGAGACACCTGAGGGATATGTTGATTTGACCAATCCGGAATCATTGGTACATTTGGTGTCGGGTTGTTTTGTGGTGGAGAGGAGTTGTCCTGCAAATATTTTGAATTTGAAAATTTGAGAGAAAATGATGTGATATATTCTTAATTATATAGATTTTGGAAATTGAAGGCTGCGCGAACTTTTGAAGAAAAGTACAAAACACAAAATATCAGAATTCAATTTTTAGAGCTAGACATGGGGTATAATCATCTGGAAATAATGGAAAACATACAAGCTTGCCATTCCAGGAACTACCATGAGAAATCAAACACTTTTTCACTAGGAGGGTTCGAACCTGTGGGCCGGTCGCCCCTATGGCGTGGCAGCCAATGTTGCTACCCACTGCGCCATATATGCGAAGCTTGCAATGGGGTGTCGCGGTAAAGATAAGCGCGACCAAGTTTCAAAGCTGCGCGGTTTCAACCCAGTTTTAGCTCCAAGCGCTCAAAAACTTCCGTCAATTTTTTGAACTCTTTGCTTCTAATGTGGGAAAGTGTACCTTTTGGAAAATACCTTGAGAACTTTCTAGAGTTCAAAAATTTCAAAACGCGAAATGAACACAAAAACCCAAAACTTCTACAACTCGTGTGAAATATTCACTCATTCTTTCCCACAAAAAAAGTTTCCCCTAAAAAAAATCAAAAAAGTGTTCCCTTACCGTTCCAAAATCCTCTTTCAATTCGGTTTTAATTGAACCAATTGCGGGTTCACTGCTCACCTGCATTGAATCGCTCATCGGTGAGCTCTCAGGTTTCGACTCTTCAGTGTCGTCGTCTTCATCAGAAGCACGGTCAGAAGTGCCACCGCTCTTCGCCTTCTTCTGTTTTGATCGCCGGTTTTGGAACCAGATTTTTACCTGCAAAAAATGTTTTTTTTTGGAAATCTAACTTTTCAAAGGTCCGATGGATATGAAGCATGGTCAGTTATTCCGTCAAGATAATCCCATAAAGTTAAAACAACATTCCCCTCTCTTTTGTCTCTCTGCCCATTCGGAACTCAATTGGTTTCCGATCCGTCGATTTTGAAAAACCCACAATGTATACACAGTCCATCCACACTCCTCCTCCTCTTCCTCCCCTTCATAGTGACATCCATGGAAAAAGAGAAGGTAAAAAGGATAATTAGCCTTCCGCTAGTGAATGAATAGACATTGGGATTCCTATAGATAGAGGTCACACTCTCTTTTCATGGACTAACCGGCTGTAGGACTCAGCAGGACGAAGGGGGAGGAGGATACGGTATTTATTTTTGATTTTCTAGGTTTTCGAAATCAAAAGGACATCTTCAAAAAAAAGTAAAAAAGAATATATTCAGGCGGGGTCGAACTCGGGTGTCGTGGGCGAAAAGAGAGCGCGCAACCGACTGAGCCACAAGTGCGACAAGCAGAAATAGAGGTGGAAGCCGTAGACGAAAGAGGTTCTTTCCAGCTTTACAGCTGCGGTACTATTACTCAAGGATAACTTTTCCACCACCACCACCATGACGATCCTGTCAATCACACGCTTCCTCTACTCCGAGATAACATCAATTTCCGTTCATCGCAACACATGTTTTGGTTACGGTATGATTGATAGACTTCTCTTCTATCCCCCGATAACAATCTCTCACCTGCGCGCGCGCTATTGCCGTTTCCTGTTATCACAAAAAAGATAATATTTGCTTTGTTCAGCTTCTCGAAAATGTTACTTTTTAGCTTTCTCTTATAATTATGGAGTTAGAAGCTTCTTCTTCTCTCAGAAGATCTCGTGAGTTATAAAGTCAATTCTCAAGGGATACCAAAAACAATAATTAAACAGCTCCATCTCTCTTTTGCCACGTCATTGCTCATTCTCATTCTCCCACATTCAATTTCAATTCTCCAAAGTGAAGAAAAACTCAATAGCGCGTATAAAAGTGTGGCGACCTTCTCAAGAAAGAAACAGTTAATGAGACTGTGTTTTTACGGTGAATTCAGTGAGAAGAGACGACGACACGTGTGTGATCGAAGGAGTAAGACGACGGGATTAGGCTGTCGTTTTCCGTCCCGGATTACGACTGGATTATTACCTGATGGTGTGCATTTCTTGCCTAAGGTTGCTACCCCATCAAGGTCATTGATATCCGAGCGGAAAGGAGGATTTAGGAAAAAGCAAAAATGAATTTGTCCCCGGGTGGGGTTGAACCCAAGACCCTTCGCCCGAAATCAGGAGCGTTAGCCACTAAACCACGCGCTCAGAGAGGGGAGAAGCAGTGTAATGCCTACTTGTTTATGCTTACCTGAGTCTGTGACAATCCCAATTCAGCAGCCAACGCAGCACGATCCGGAAGCGCCAAATATTGTGTCTTTTCAAATCTGAAAATTGAAATTTGAGAATCAATGGTCAAAAAGTATCTGGAGACTGCCTACTTTTTCTGAAGCATCTGAAGTTGCTGAGTGTTATAAATCGTTCGTGGCTTCCTCATTTTCTTTCCTTTCGTATTATATTTTGCTTCACAGCCTTCTACGATTTTTGTGGTGGTGTGCTCGTTGAATCCCTCTGTAAAAAATGAATATAAAAATAAATTTGAATATAAAAAAGTTCCCATCACACTAAAATATCTCAACTGACGCAATTTGATGCTTTCAAGTCAACCCGAGTCAGAAAGACCTCCAAATGAAAATGAACTAGAAGAATTTGGAGTTTCGAGTCAGAAGATCCAGAAATGGCAACAAATAGAGTACAATTTCCAAAGTTAGAATTGGTTTGACGTCTTTTTAGATGGTAAACTGTGTATTATAAAACAAATGACGTGCTTTCGTTTTGAAATCCCAGCTTCTTTCGAAATACCGATCAGATCAAAATTACAACCTTCAGCAGATCAGTTGACGTCAAGGTGAATTCAGAAAAAAAAAACAAAATGGAAAAAAAAAGAGTTTCGACCACGGCAGGATTCGAACCTACAATCTTCTGCTCCGTAGGCAGACGCGTTATCCATTGCGCCACGCGGCCACATTTCTCAGGCAGTGCTAATGGGCGATAAGAAACAGAGGGCTGCCACCCAGAGGGCGGGAAAGTGATGCGTGCACATAGTAAAATAATCGAGAGCGCGAGCTAATGAGATAATTAGTCTCTGACAGGTTGACCTAATAATTACCTTCAGGTGAACTTCCAGGACCCGGTGGATACATTCCATAGGGAGGCTGAGGTGTTGCATACATTCCAGGAGCGGCTGCTCCATTTGTCGAAGATCCAGGATATCCATGATAGAAATACGGAGACGTGGCACTAGCTCCATTTGGTGTGGATGACGCTGGCTCTGTTTGTGTTGGATAGTAGGCTGATGCAGTGCCGAAATTGACACCGTCCATCTGAAAGTAGCGCATTTTGAATGAAGTGGAAGAAAATAGAACGGAGAGGTGGACGAAGTTCCAAAAATTCTCACGAAATGCGGAAAGGTTATAGTTCTCATAATAAGAAAAAAGTTATTGCAAAAATGCATTCAATGAAACAAAAAAGAGAGAGTGTTGATTCATGATTACTCGACCTTTTCGATGAGGAGCAGAAGCAGTTGGCATTAAACAATTCGAGATGATGGAACAATAAATGTTAAACCAATAAACGTGATAATATTTACAAGAGGAGAGAAGGTAGATCGAATTAGATTGAGGCAGATCAAGCGGGAAAAAGTGGACAGTTCAAAAAAGATAAAACAAAAAGAAAAAAAGTTTCGACCACGGCAGGATTCGAACCTACAATCTTCTGCTCCGTAGGCAGACGCGTTATCCATTGCGCCACGCGGCCACACACAGGTAAAGCGCTAAGTCCCAACGGCGGGCCAACGGAGAACCAACGGCAGGCGAACAGCCGCAGATTGCCGAACGGCGGGCCAACAGCGGCTGGCGGCCGCAGGTGGACGAACGGCGGCTCAAGGGCGGACGAACAATTTAGTTCTAAACCGATTTCAACCTGAGAAATTTCGGAATATTTCTCTGTATTTTGGAGCGTAGGATGTTAAGCCTTATCACAAGTTCATTATTTTCTCAATTAACATCAAATTTTGGTAGTGGGTAGGCCAACGGCAGCCCAACGGCGGCTCGCAGTTGGTCCGCCGTTGGTTCTCCCTTGACCTGCCGTTGGGACTTAGCGCTTTACCTGTGCATTTTCAAATGATATCGCAAGGCGCTTATCAATGCGCCGACTTGACTCATTGCTACTTCAAAGGATGTATCAATGTACTAATATCATGTTAACAAAGCTCCTAACAAGTACAAGCTATCATTACCGGGCAACGTAATCGCTATAATTACTTAATGAGTGCCTATTAGAAGTGTGAGAATTCTCTCACGCCCCCGCATCGTAATCATTTTTTCGGGAGGGGATCAATTATCACCGGCAATTTACAATTTCAGATCGGGGGTGAGAGAGTGACCGAAAAGGCAGGCAATTACCTAAAATTATTTGTGGGAAATAAGGAAAAAAAAGAGAGATTGAAAGGTACGAATTAGGATAATAAGGGAGTGACGGGAGAGAGGGACAGATTCAGAAAATTCAGAAGACATTTAGTTGAAGAAGGTGGTGGTGGTGTTGATGATGATGGGGCTAGTCGTCGTCGTCGTTGGCCAGTAGGCACATAGCACAACACACCATCGAAAACGGGGGGAGGGAGAAGAGACGACGCGATGGAAGGGGAGAGACAGCCCCAATTCGGATGGGCGGTGCGTACTAAGTGGGCGGGGCTTTCATGATTCTCATTGGACACAGTATTCGAATGGGACGATGGAAGAAGGAAAGAGTCGATTTTGGGAAAAATACCTGGATGGATACCTTATCACTAAAAAAATGGAACACTTTTGACCCCTCGATATCAAATGGGAGATGATGATGATGATGATTGGGGAAACAATTATTTTGGCTGGACGCGGGGAAAAGTGCCGGGAGAGAGAGAAAAATGGTTGAGGTATAATTTAGCCCAATTATCTTTCAGAGTGTGCCCTGAGAGGGAACCCCGCCCTATATTGTAGCTAATTGCTGGGTGTAGGTGTATAGAGAGAAGGATAAAGTGAGAGAGGGAATAGTGAATTGTTGGCTGTAATTGCGTGTAGCCAAAAGGGCCTCAATCTTCTCTGCCCGGTCCCAACCAGGAGGCATATACACAGCCATCATTCCTTCAGTTCGCACTCGATGTTCCAACCTTTTCCCATTTTTTTTTTCATTTTGGAATGGAATTTTTACAGTTTCCTTAGTTCTAATTTTCCTGTGTGCTTAGTGTATCCTAGCTAAGCCCCTGGTCCCACCTAACCTAACTAAGCTTGAACCCACCCCTCTCCACCGTATGAAATTCTGTGTAACCTCCTTAACCATGCCTAGCCTATAACTACCGTGAACTCCACACCCAATTAATCCCTCCACTGAATTTTTCACAGCTTCGGACTCTTTTTGAACATTGCCGTTAGTACCATCTGCTTCTCAGGTGTTAACAAATGTTACATAGTCCTAGGAAGCTCTTCGAATTCCGAAGCTATGGAGAGTGGGCTTCTCGATGATGGTAAATGCCACTTTGAGCAACTCAAAATTATTTTGACTCACGTCATTCTGTTTTTTGTCTTCTTCCTTCCGGTTTGACTCATTTTTGAATTGATACATTTGAAAGTATCAATTTCCATACAGAATTTTTGAAAACAAGAAGAATCGGCTATGGTAGGCTCGGGATTTGCAATGTTGTCTAGACCGGCTTCAAAGAAATAATCCTAGGTTGGGCAGAATTGTTTCTAGGAAATAGGGATCAATGTTCCACTTAGTTCTACAAAAAACAAAACTGATTTCAAAGAATTTCGTGATTCTGATATCATTTCAAAAATATTCCATGCGGGAGAGCAGACTGTTAGCCGTCTCTAGATGGGGCATATCTCGGTTGAGGCAAAAGCTATCAAAAAACTTTCAACTGACATTTTGTGCAAAATGGAATAAGAAACAAGTTTTCAGTTAACAATTTTTCTGTAGCTCCAATTCTAATCAAGATATGATACTTTGAGCTGGCACCTTCCGTTGAGGATCTGAGGATCTACTATTCAGTTTGAAACAGAATATCTCGCTTGGGATGAGAGTTGTCAAAAAAGTTTCAGCTGACATTTTGTACAAAATTGAATAAGGAACCAGTTTTCAGTTGACAATTTTCCCGTAGCTTTGATTCTAAGCAAGATATGCTACTGTAAAAAAAATTGCCAGAACACATTTTGCCGGGGGGGGGGCACCTCATTTCAAAACTTGATAACTCTCTTTGGAGCAGGGCTATCAAAAAGTGCTCAACTAAATTTTTGTGCCAAATTGAACAAGGAACAAGATTTTAGTTGACAATTTTCTGGTAGCTCTTACCTAAACAAAGATAAACCACTCCAAAAAGAAAAAACCCTACTAGGAGACTGCATACCAGGGCATGGTCAAAATAACAAAAGAACAAGAAAGAAACAAAAATCAATTGAATAAAATAATGATGATGAATAAGGAGGACACCAACTTTGACATCCCTATAGAGCTGTCATGTCATTCTTAACATAACTAATCCCTCTCTTCCTTCCGTAATTAACCATCCCTTTACCCCAGGTGCAGATACTTGCCCCCTTTGATACAGTTGAGTGTGACTATACCCTCAAAAGGGGTTCAAAGGACGGGGCGACCCCTTTTGTATAACTTACACCCAACTGATGATGAAACGGTTGTTATTAATGAAAACAGGGGCCTTTGATCCTGTCGGTTAGTCCAGGGTGATAGGGAAAGGGGCTGTATACGAAGGGACCGAATCAATAATTTTTGGTGTTGAAATAACAGCAGCTAGAAGCAGTCGCGAGCCGAAGGGGAAACCTATAATTTTTGCTAGTCGGCAATATTTTCGTCTTCTTTCTTGAGAAGAAGGCGTCTATCATTAAAATGGTAGTCAGTGAAGAGGAGGAGATTCAAATATTGATCACTTGCTCAGTATGTTTCAGGTGGTGCTCAATGCTTTCTGGATTGCTCAGATTCCTTATCCGTGGATCTCAATTCCTCAGAGCTGTACTTTCTTAAGGTTTCACTTCCAGTCAACCTCTGGAGAAACTGAAAGATGGGCGGAGTACGAAAAATAGTCCAATTAAAATAATCACCCTCCCTCCTTCCACATTCATTGAAAACCTTTCTTTAGCTCCGCCCCTTTTCTCTGTCTGCGTCTACACGATTTAATACGCTATTTCATTCACAAGTAATTACCAACCAAAAATAATTAGAATAATTGCTCCAATCCACTATATACAACAACGCCTTCAGAAGTGAGAGAAAAGAAAACCGCCCTCCAGAGAATCGTCGTTACTTTTTAGACACGTCTCCTCCAGAGTCACCTTCGGTTTTTCTCAGATTTTTTTCTCAATTTTCAAAAAATATTTTTGACCGGTCCAGCATCCCAATAGTCTACAGTACATGGAGGAGCTATCTTGAAACCATCTCTCTCTTTTATGTGTGTATATCCCTTTGTCGGTCCCCGTTGTAATTAGAAAACGAAGAATAAAAGGTGTGAATTCTAGGATCTCATCAGTTACCTCACTGGGTTGATCACCGTGAGATTGAGAAAACCAAAAGACTGGTTGAGGACCAGCGGAAAGGGTTTTTTCGGGATAGGGACCGGGGTTTGAATGCTTTGAGTCTAGAAAAGGTGTGCTCTTTTATTAGAGGTTCATGTGATAATGTTGACTAAAACTGTGGAACCGCAAAAATGGAACGTCGCAAAAAAGCTTCTTTCGTATCCAACCAAGCCAACTAAAATTACTAAAATCTGACGGATTTTGTTCCTATATCGCCTAGCAACACCTTCGCTGATATCCTTCACAGGAGGGCAGGACCCAGATATTGAGTTTCTAAATGTAGATACCTCTGATGGGTTTGAATCCAGGGCCAGCGGCAGACAGATCACCGGCTGCGATACGTGGCTCGAAGAGCTTGCCATAAACCGCCGGCGGGTTCTTAGTCCCTATTCCAGTCCCCCT